TCCCTACACAAAAACCTGGAGCTTCACAAAGCTAGTTCATAAAAAATTACATTTTCTTTAGTGAGGGTAAATTGAATCACTTCACTTCTTGACCTTTTTTCAGCAATCATGTTTAGCACCACCTTAATATCAAATTCAATAAATGCATTATTTGATATTACTTTCCTTTTGCTAAAAGATTAAACTTGTTTTATGAATAGATGGCAGGTATAAAACCTTTACTAGAATTATTACATGGTGTCTTACAGAAACAGGAAGGGAAAATAAAGAAGTTCTTTGGCTTCCCACCTCTGTGCTGAAATCTACACTGAAGAGAGGAGAAGGTGGTGTTGGAGATGGTGTTGCCACAGGAAGAGTTGACGATACCAGAGGAGTTTTCTGCGTGTGGTACTGCGCCCATTGCTCTGGCTTCCGTCTTAACTGCTCATCATAACCAGTCTTCAAATGACCACAAGGCTCCTAGCAATAATAAATACAGGACTATATATCCTATCATACTCTAATCAGAAGGCAAATGCTTGCATGGGACACCCTGGACCCCCAAATTCCCTTGGGTCTGTATCACTAGAAGAATTTCACAATGATTTGGAGAGAACCTGGCCCATGTATGGCAACTCACAACTTAATACATAATTAAATCAAGCAACATGCACAGGAATTAAAGAGGCAGAGGGGCTCTGGTCCTAATCCAGATAAGAGTAGTCTATTTTACAAGTCCATTTTATTAACATTAAAAACAAGACAAGAACTTTGTCCAGGTCACATGTCTTGATCACTGTAACCCCAAACAAACAGAAGAGGTCTATGCTAATTATTTACCAACTTTACAGTAATAACCTTCAGAACCAAGACTACATCCTTCCCTTTCTGGCTCTCACTTACCCTTGGTAAAGGCACAGTCCTCTGTTCGTTTGGAGGTTGACAAGCCACAGAGTAATACCCATCCAAAGAGTTGTATCTCTCACGTAATGATGTCTGATAGACAGATGAGTGCATCACATCCATGGGAGGTAAAGAATTGCTCCTAATAATATCATCTCGTGGGTACATCTGTGGGCGCCAGATGCGCCTGCTGTCATAAACTGGAGCATACATTCCAGAAGGGACTGGAGGAACTGGTCCATACGGCTGCGGAGGAGGAGGTTGGTAAGGAGAATTCAGTCGATCTCGAGGGGGAAATGTACTGTAATGATCGGCATATGGCACGGAAGCAGGTGGGAGGGAGGATTCTGGAACGTTATTGGACCTCACAAAGCGAGGAACACAGGGAGCCACACCAGCTGGTACTGTTGGAGGTGGTGGATAGTATCCTTAAAAATTGGAAAAAGGCATATTTAATGTAACCACAAATGACCCAGAATTTTACACCTTCTAAAACTGTAAACAGTGTTGATAAGTACCTTCAGAGAATGAAGTGCCACACTTTACTAACCTGTTACTGACCCTATCATTTTTCTGTGGAATATAATTTCATGTATGACAACCATATTTGCAGATGTAGTGCTGACCCTTTACCACCTCGACCCAGTTTGGAAAATGGGAGTTTCTCTGACATTACTGCTATGTACTATGGTATAACTATGTAACTGAAGAGACAGCATCTTAAGCACTTCTTTATATTGGCAGTTAAAATAGTTACCTTTAAAATAAAAAGCCGTATTGCTAAAATAAAGTAATTCCAAAGGTCCATAAGTAACCATTTCACACTTGACTTATTCTTTTTCCTTTGGAGAGGGTTGTCTGAGAGGGGACAGAGCTTTTGTTTTGAGAGCTTGTGAATGACCTGATGCTAGAACACCCAATTGTTTGCTTGAATATAAACATGCATACTGCAACCTAAAAAGATGACTGAAACCTTTCAAAAACATTTGAGCAAGCACAAGTCTCACAGTAGAAGCATGCTATGCCTCTGGGTCTGAATCCTGACTATGGATACCCTCATGGATAGGGCATGAGGTGAGCAAGCCTAAATAAATGCAATTAAATGTTAACAAAAGAAAAAGAAGACCTCAAGGTTCAAGTTCTTCTGGATGCTGAGGTACAAGCTGCATAACATACAGCACACAGAGTCAAGAACCACCAACACTGGGAGCAAAATTACAGGTCCATCCTATACTCAGCAACAGACCAGATTAGTATTCCATTAAGTGAAGATTCAGCTGATATTAAAAAAAAAAATCCACAAAACTAAGATAGAAGTTACTTCTCAGCATTCAGGTTTATCTAGAGAAACGTTCAGAGCTACTTTTCATTCAGTGCTCATCTCACCTGTCTGTGGGTACTGTGGAACTTCATATGACAGCTGAGTCCTGGGATCTTGGAAATATTGAACATTATCAGAATGCGGAGGGTAGACAGGTACTCTGGGAACAAACGGGCTGGATTTTGGAGGCACAGAATTAACTTCTGTTCCAATACTAGGAGGACCAGCTGAGGTAGCTGCTGCCTGGCTTACAGGAGTCTTGGGTGGAGAACCAATTTTACTGAAAAGGATTACCAAGAAATCATTAAGCAGATCTTTACTTATTTCAGTTAGTCATCTCCTTGTGTACACTCCCAAGTAATGTGGAAATTTGGGCTATTTGATTTCCTCTGGAATTTTATTTTTCATATGCCAAAATTATACTATTATTAGATCTCACATTTTCTCCTAAAAACTCAGAAGTGGATATAAATGCTTTGATATATACCCAGAAGCTTACATACTAGTTGGAAGTGTATGCTGGTAAAGACAAAAGCTTTGAAGAGCTGTTTAGAGGTTCAGTGCTTCCTGGAGAAGTATCTAAAAAGTTCTAAGGGAAACTCCCAAAACGAGAAGGTTTCCAGGATTGTTAAGGGACTACGCACTATGTGCAGCCTTCTTGGTTTCAAGAAATGTCAAATTTTGAGTGCAAGTTTTTTGTTTTATTCTTAAGTAATAACTCAATATTAAGTAAGATAGCAGGCTGAGAACAACAGAATAAAAAGTTAAAGTGAGAGATTTACCATTTTATCTATATTGCATGGGAGGATTCAACAGCTAAAACAGAGCCAGCATCGGTTGACAACTTGAATCCACACATTTTGTGTAGCAGTATCTGCACTGCAGTACAAGATCTTACACAATTCTGCAGCCAGTGAGCACCAGCAACAACTGCAAGCCAGGACCAGAATTCAGTATCTATTGTTGGCCATCCACAGACTCCATGATAATCTAAAAGCACAATGTTGTGCTCAGTTATCTTTATGAAAAAAAAAGTTACCTACTTTTCAGGTAGTGATTCTGTAGGTGATCCTGAAACATTCTGTCCATTGGCTCCAGACTTCCCTCCCTTCTTGGTGTTCTCCAAAGCTCTTAAGGAGGTGTCCGCACAGCGAGGGATCAACTGAGGAACACCACTTTCTAGATTAGCTATTCCATTAGTACTTGGCACCATCTTCCCTGTTGTTTCAGGGCTTCCTATGACAGAAATTACGTTTCCTGTTGTGGTTGAGACAGTGCTATTTACGCCAACTTTATTTAGAAGGGGGAATGTTCTCACTGTTGCACTGATTTTTTTGTTCCTCAAGCGATATCTATAAACAAACACATGTACAAACACACACACAAGACAGGTGACTTAAAAAGTGCTTATTGTGATGTTTAATGTCTATGTAAAACTAGCAAAATTAAGGGATTGAGAGGAACACGTTATCAAAACGTTTCAAGACTTCAAAAACTGGTGCTTATAATCAACAATCCGCAAATAGAACATCAACGTCTTCCTTGTAACCGAAGATCATCTCTCCCCTTAGAAGATCCACTTCTGCAGTTCTTTAAAAATGGATTTGGGTGAAAACAGCTTCAAGAATGCACACATTACATAAGTTCAAATAATTAACTTTATTCCTTAATTAAAATGAAATTAACATTTTCTCTCTTGTAAGTAGTATTACCAACCCCTGACTGACATTGAGCCTAGACTCAGTTTCAGGAAAGGAAATTTTACTTCATATGGGGTAAAATAAAAATTAAAACTGGAATTAATTTGCAGACATTGCTTTACTGTACCTTCAATTTCATGTAAAGAGTTGTCACTTCAAGAGATTCGCAAATTCTTCCAAATGAATAAAGGTATAGAAGAAATTGTTTTCAAAATTCTATGAAGATTGCTTGGATTTAAATTACAAAGAAACAAAAAAAGAAAAGTCTCCCACACTCACTTTTCAAGCTCTTCCTGAGAATGAGCAAATGTACAGTTTGTTCCCCTTGGACATCCCCCTTGCTGTCGAAGGTCTCGGCACATACTTGTTTTATATTTGCTATTTGGTTGTGGCTTTAAAAAAAAAACCCAAACACACAAGACATTACTCTTACAATCTAACAGACTTTTATATAAAAGTAGGCTTAAAACACACAAAACACATCCATGAGATGGTTTTACATTTTGCACCTTTAATCAGAAAACCAAGGAACTTTATTGTTGATGGGTTCAGTACTATGCCATCGTATGGATCTGCAAGCTCTGCTGCATTCCGTATTCAGAAATGTTATGTTCTCAAAACCTGAATGCAGTAAATAACAGTATCCTCAATTATTCCACAGAAAAGGCCAAAAATATTTCAAATCAATAGCAATTTTTTGAAGTTGCATCTTTCAGTAAACGTACCTTAAGACATATAATGCAAGAATCAAATATAGTTACCTGTGGAGTTTCATGGCCTTTTCTACTGTAATTCTGAATGAAATCCACCAGCCCATGTACCACAGTCTTTACAGCAACCATTGCATTTTCCAGCTGCTCCCACGTTGGAGATGCTGCATCTAAAATTATTAAAAGCAGGCTTGTCATTCCATCAATAATTCCAGTAGCAGCATAAGAGGCAACTCTTCTAGTATTTCAAAACACCAAGTACTAGGACAGAACTCAGACAGCCCTGAAGAAGAGTTTATGACATACTATGTTAATTATGGGAGTTTTGAAACCAGGAATGGGGGTTATCATCTTAATAATTTACTTTGCTAGATAGGAAAAATATCAAGAAATTCTTAAAAAGCTTCATTTGCATACCTGGATTTGGATCTATGTTTGCCAGGAGCTCTAAATGAGGCCTCAGCCTGTTTAAGTTTGCAGGATCCCCCGTGCGCTGCAAGACAATTGTCAATTCTTGTACACTCTTTGCAAAAGATTCGGGAGATTGGAGCTGAAAACAAAGTGAGCGTTAGTGTGCTGCATCTTACAACTGTGAACTATTAATCTTAACCATTTTCATTACACTGGCAATATGTAGTGTCTTCAGATGGCATATAGAGAGTATCAGTGGAGAGAAATTTAATTTCTCAGCTCAGAATCTGCCCTATGAAGCTTCATCATAAGACACAAAAAAGGGAATTAGTCTTAAACTACTGAAAACCAAAATGTCTTCATATGAAGAATACGCTCCAGTGGGGGAAAACACCTTAATTCTATTTTTAATTAATATTTGATATGACTAAAGAAAAAAAGTTAACTCAAGCAGTTCTTGGATTTTTATTATAACATTCAGTAGTCAAATCTGATCCTACAAAGATACTAAAATCATCCCTTTGACAAACCTTGTCAATAATGGATTGCATGTGTGATTTATGCGCCAAGTCACCATAAAGAAGGGAAGACCACTGTTCTGGTGAAATTCGAAGTCCTGCTTCCATGGCAATGTGAACAATTTGGGCATCATGTTCTCTCCGCAAAGCCTCATAACTCCGAAACTCTTCTTTAAGTTGCATCAGAGAAGAATCTTCATCCCTTTTAGTGACCTAGTAAATAGTAATAGTTAAATACTCCTCCTTCAACAAAAAACCTCCAAGTCCATCAGAAAAAGACAGTTACACAGCACAAATCACAAAAGAATTATTTTTGTATATTTAGGATATACTTAGTTTTCTTCCATGTATTCATCCACTTAGGTAGCAGTGCACATGCAGAACAGCCAGCTATTCAAGTTTTTACCTTTTATTCAAGGTACAAAACTACATCAACTCACTACTTCCAACTAGGAAAGTCATCAGATTTTCTTAAGTCACAGGAGATAGATATTTAGTAGTTCTACTAGTAGTTTTTGCTATGCAATATTAGAGGATGACACAGGAAAGTCTCTAGAAGTGACTTCAATAAAAAGGAAGAAAAATTTTAAGATATTGGCATTTAAAGAACAGAATATTTAGCTGAGAGCCCACTATAAATGTTAAGTAAAACTCTTAGGTTACAGAAGGCATTCGTCATAACGGAAAGCAACAGGTCTCATTATTTTAATGTTTAGTTCAGTGATGTTGTGATAATAATGTTTAACTGTGATTGAAAAAGAGACTCATGGAATTAACTTTTCATTCTTCTCCAGGTATAAAGAGTTGGCAATATTCAGTTTAAACAACACATCCCTATGTATCAAAAATAAAGCACCTCTTCAGTGCAAAGCAGCAAGATACAAACAAAAGAAAAAGGAGAGAGAGTAAAAAACATGTGCAAACACAGTGTTGGGAGTTCAGGCTGAGAGCAGTCTCTGTATATGGTGTCCTCCTCTCATGCCTGGTGTTGGGGCTAGGGAAGTTCCCAGGACTACAGTATTCCGAAAGTTTTCTTTAGCATGCTGGAATTGGATTCTAAGCTTTGAGAGCACCCAGGCCAGTCTGGCATGTCTAGCCATGGCCAAGTCTTACGAATCTAAAGAAAGTAAAATGTGATTATATTAACACTTCTTCCTGAAACAGGCTAGGAATGCCTACAGAGTCAGGTTTCATGCCTCTTTCAGGGGAGGTAATTTGCAGATGATGGGCAGCAATTAATAATGCGGGCAGTAATTTCGGAATCTATTCTGGCTAATTCCGTGTGTGACCATTTGTTCCTTTTGTAGGGAATTTTAAATCTCAAACAACTACTTTATGACAGTTTTAGATAAAATCTTAAGGGTCTACACTATTTAAATGTAGAAACTGAATTTATGTAACATTTTACAGGCAAAAGATTATAATCCTAGGTAGGGTTTTCTGGAGCTGCACTAGTTCACAGTAACAAACTTCAAATATTGGTATGTTACCTTAAAGCATGATGCCCTATACAGTAGCTGCACAACGTGACCAATGCTTGTTTTAGAGGCCTGAGGAAATCTTGGTTCCAGCCTTTGCACAACAAAAAGTACCAGAACTTTTCTTGAGAGTGCAGAGCCATCTTCCAGTGCCAGTAATACAAGTTTCAGTGCCTCCTCTTGCATAGCTTCAACACACAGAAATAAAGATAGTAAGTGAAATATATTGCCAGAAAGCAGCAAGGCTATCATATATTAACACAATAAGTAGAGGCATCTGAATCATCTTGAACATAATTCCTTATTACTTTGTTTCACTAATCATAAGAAAAAAAAGCTTTGTAAACATTGTAAGAAATTTGCTGATTTGGAAGAAGCATTTAGAAGCACTCTACGCACAGCAAACTTAAAGAGTTAAGACTAATTGTCAGTAATAAATGCATCAGTAGTGCGGTTTTTATACTTGTCTCCGCTGTGCAGTCTTGTAGCCTTTGTCATTTTGGACATCTCATCAATGCTACACCATGAAACTGTATAAAAATAAATATGGGAACAGTACAGGAATGCTATCATCAGTTATTGGAATCAAGAGAGGACTACTTCTAGTTTAAACAGAATTTCCTTCTCATTTTTGTGCTTGCTTCAGTAGTATTCTTAACTAAGAATTTGCTGTTTCTATCAAAGATATAAACATTATCATTATAAATTTTAATATTAAGGTATGCTGCAACTAAAGTTAGGCTGGTTGTATTTACAGCCAAAGTATGAACAAGAAAGCATTTGCAGTTTCCTATCCAATTCTAATCACAGACAGCAGTACAACCAGCCTGTGTCATAGTTACACTGCATTACAAACTGTGCAGAAAGCATGCTTATTTACTCGTTTGCCAGGATTTTTTAAATACTTCCTCACAATTTCAAAGAATAGTTAATAACGGGGGAAAAAAAACCCCAAACAATCCAAAACAAAAAACTTGAAAACAGTAGATTTCACTAAATTGTAAATTTTTTTCCCCCTTCTCCTTTCTTCCTGGCAAAAAGTTGAAAACCAGAAATAATTACATCTTCAAACTCAACAGAAGAAATTTCCAAATAATTTTTTGTTAAGAAAGGGTACAGATAAATATACTGTTTCAGATTCTACAGGTACCCTACCTGGTCCTAGAAACTGGCATCCTCGTGCCCTGACAGCAGCCCAAAGATTGGCAGAAAGCTGCTGAGGATTTTGGTGCTGCAAGATCAATTCTGTAACAGTCCTCTCTCCCAGTGATCGAGCTGCCCTCATAGCTCTAACCCGACCCTCTTCCTCCACCAGCTGACAATTCACCAGCGTCACAAGCTTCCTTTGCATTGGACGGCTTAGTGCACTCTGGTTCAAGCTTGCAACACCTTCAAAGAAAGAGAGAAAAGGCAAACTATTGCTTCTAATCAGACAAATTTATCCAAATAAGACAAACAAAAATGTCAAGTAGTATGTGTCTTTCTCTAGGACTTAGATACTAGCCACAGGTATCTTCCCTTCTCTTTAGTCAACTCTGTGTAATTCATTATCAAAAAGAATTTTAATTAAAGTCTCAAATTAATATCAAACCCATCCTTTGAGGAAAGTTCAGCTTTAGTACAAAGTTAGCCCTAAGGTAACATTATTAAATAAAAACGAGTATTTTGTAAACTTAAAATAATTTTTTAAAAGTATTACAGGTGTGAATAAGCTTTTAAAGACATAAGGGAAATTTTATTACAAAAATTAGAGGATTGTCCCATTGACATCTAAAATCAGTGCTGGAAACACAATGTTTTGTGTTTAAAAGTAAGCTACATCAAAATTACGCTGTTCAGTAGAGACTCACCTTTTCCTCCACTTAATGGCTTCAAGTAGAGTGCCAAATCCTCAACACATTTCTTTGCTACTTCATAATGTTTGTTCTCTCCTACATTACTCAACTTTACTGTCTGATGATCAGGTACCTAAGAAAATGCAAGGGGGAGGAGGGGGGACAAGAATTACATATACCCGCCTGACCTCTCTCATATGCCTATGATAGTACCAACACCACTACTGTTAATTACATAACACTGCAGATGTACGCTGCTTTTTAGAGAAGTGAAAGACAGGACCCACCCAAGGTATGCAGAATGTAATAAGGAATAACAAAAAGGACTCAAGATGAGGATCAGGATGATGAAAGATTATTTTTGTTAGTACTCAACACATTAAGAACAAAAGTAGGGCAGAAAACAACCAAGGTCTAATGAGAAGGTACGTAAAAGATGAGTGAAGAACACAAGATTTGAGAGGATGATCAGTGTACAAGATCAGCATGATTTACTACAGACAAGGCAAGTTATAAGACAAAATTAACTGGAAAGAAAATATGAAAAAAATCAAAAGCAAAGATAAAAAATTAATTTAGGCATAATTTGGGCATGCTGAAATCTTCAAAGAGAAGAACTAGCAAATTTAACTTGGTGGAAAAAACTCGGAGTAACAAGGTCAGACAATGAAAATAGAGGGAGCATTAGTCACAATACGTTAAATTGTTTGAAAGACATTGCAAGAAGTTAGGAGACCAGGAAAATGAATGTTGTAAGATCAAGGCAGTGATCTGACACAAACTTAGAAATAAAAAAATGAAAGGAACACGTGAACTTGACAAACAAAACCATGGACATAGATAGTGTTATTACCAATAGCTGTGCCAAGGCATAAGACATTAAAAAGCAAAGTCAAAAGCATCTTCTTACTGCATTACCCAGGTGTTACAGCAAAAGTAATATGAAAAAGCATATGAATCAGTGTAAGGTGAACAGACTTATTTAGTCTCCATAAAGCACAGTCCTGATTATATAATCGCTGTTTTGCCACTGCTACGAGACAACACAGGGAACACTCCTGGCCTGATTAGCCAGTGTCTGAAAATGCAACTGAAAAGCCATCATCATGCATATTTTAAAAAAAAAAAATTATGCACACACACTTCTGAAACTTGGTTAAACAGCTAGCTAGTTTCGAACATGTGACATGTAGAAACAAGATTACTTGCAAGAGTACGATGAACAAGTGCAATCTGCGGGTTCACTTTTCTAATGACAGTTGTGGCAGATAATTGTCTATTTCCTAATGGGTATTTTTCTCCAGTCACAGTTCAAGAGCCTTTTTAAACCAGAATTCAGGTTACAACTAGAACATGTTTTCATTTTATGAGAAGAGGACGGTTCTGAAAATAGTGTGATTGCTTTTATAGTATGTATGGTCTTCTAAACATTACAAAGTTAAAGTCTTACCATTTTTTTTAGACTAAAACGAGGGAAAAAGATCAGCACACGTATTGCAACCAGCATGTAAATGGTAATAACACAAAGTGGCAAAACATAGAGCTGCTTAAATCATACCTGGGCTCCAACTAACTGGAGGAGTGCAAAGTTTACAGGAAGCACATCGATGTCTGTATTGATGGCAGTCTGGTCGAAAGGACATGCCTTGCGATGAAGCTTGTTCAGGCAGGTCTTACAGACAGTGTGAGAGCAACCTAAGCTGATGGGTTTGTGCACATTCTCATCAAACTCGTTGTAGCAGATTGGGCAGGACAGAAATTCTGTCCACTGAGCTGCCTGCACAGGCATTGTGGAAGCTGGACACTTGTTTAGCAGGCTAGCAGACCATTATTTCACTGTACTATGTTTTGGCAGCTGTAAGTGAATAACAGAGTATTTAAAACATGATTTCTGGTAATTTAGAATGATTTGTAATTAAAAAACCCCACAATTTCAATACTTTACAGAATAAAAGCAAATCCTTATGTTGAAGTACTCAAAAAAAACAACTTTGTGTTAGTTTAATAATTGTACCAAAAAAGGCTCATGAACTGAATTAATGCAGACTACCATAAGCTGAAGTCGAACCTATACATAATAAATGGCATTAAAGTTCTTCTTGCGGGATTAAATACACCTTTAGCATAGGAAGAGGAAGACATTTATTGGCACAGAAATTGTAAAGGCATGAATCACAGTAACCATCTCTCACACTATCTCACCACAAGTTTTCAAAACCCTGAAAGCACTCCCTGGTTGTAAAATGGGCCTGGGGTGGGGAAAAGACACAGAATTGTTTGGGGTTTTTTGTTTGGGTTTTTTTTTGGGGGGGTGGGGGTGGGTTTGGTTGGGTTGGGTGAGGGAGGTGGGGAGTTAAAAAGTTATTTCCATTTGAAGTGAAGTAGAACGGTGCCTTCCTTCTGCAGATCTTACTCAGAATTAATCAGACACCAAACTAAACACATCTTTGCTTTCTTTAAGACACATTTCCTCTTTCTGTAAAAGACAAATCTATTAAAAAAATCAATTAACAAGAATCATAAGAAAACACTAAAAGAATGAGAGATTAGTTTTTCATTTTTTGATTCTCCTGTGTTACATCCCCCTTTTCTCCCAAGAACCCACTGGAGCACTCAAGGGCAGAGATTGCTGTATTCAATTTTGCTGTTCACATCTCTACCTTACACAATAATGCAACTCCACCTCCATGAACTCACAGCGAGAAAATCTCTGATGTGTTGAAAATCCAGGTGTTTAGGGTAAAACTTATGATAAGACAAGCAATAACTTCAAGTGGCTTGCTTTTAAGTCTTTTCTCTCAAAACATCTCACACTGTGCAGTAGTACCATACAAACTGTTTACATAAATGTATTCCAAAGAAAATACGCATTTATAGAAATTGTTTTGAAAGACATCCCATCTTATATAACTTACGTTCTTTAAAAAGATAACAGGCCTACAAAGTTCACCAAAACCGTTTACAGTCAAGCTTTTGTCATGAAGACTTAAATTCACAGCTTCTTCTAAGAGCTAAAGAGCCCCACCCTTTGCTGCAATGTGCCATGATGTTGACTTTCTATGCAACCTAGAGACCAGTTAGTTCACTTCAAGGCTATGAACAAGCTTCTCCTAGCAGCTTGTTAGAAATGCAAATATACAAATGTTTTAATTACATGTTTAACAGTCTGGTTTTTTTTCTCCAATGACAGAAAAAAGGTAATTGTTTTGAGGAAGCTGAGATCTCCCCTCCGCATTTGAATTTTGTAATTCTTTACTGCAATTCCATTGTTGGCTCTGCTACAGTTTAATTAATGCTGAAGTATCGGACCATTGAAATAATTACTAGAACACCAAATAGACTCTATCTGTGGATGTATTTTATGTTAATTATGACCATCTGTTTAGGAATTCTATTTAGTACTATGAACATTCAGTGCCCTTTAAGTAACAGGATACTTTGTACAAGATGTCCTTATCTCAGGGAGCTTTTCAACATTATGCAGTGATTTTTCCCCCAAATTAGTTCCCATAGCCAGTGTAAAACACAGCAAACTGGAAGTTGAACCTGTCCCTTCAAAACCAAACTGCTGAGGTAACACTTTCAACATAAGCCAGCATATTCACATGCACTGGACAATACCGATTTTCATCCAACTTCTAGGAATGCACAATCAAAGCTCTTGCAGGGATGAAAAAAGTTGCAGTCCTCTTTAATGTGCTATTACTACGTATGTCTTTTAACCAAGGAAGTTCAAAAGCAAAACAAATCATAGCAAAACCAAACAATGAGCCAACATGCCTAGAAAGATTTTTAATTCCTCTATAAAGAATCCCACCATTTCCTTTAGCACATCTACTTCAGCTTCCCTACCAAAACAGCAGGACAAGAGATGCACAGAATTGCAGCTTAAAGCCTTGCAGGAAACACTTCCCTTAAAGCTTTTTGCCAGCATTACCAGAAACGTCAACAACTACTGCTGACCTAGGAACACTATCGATGTTTTCTCACCTGTCTGACTGCATGACACAGGTAACAGCACAAACTAGACGACTCTGAGAAGTGTGCTACTACCATGACTCATACAGGGAAAAGTGTAAGAAAAAGCTAGTACACACACAGCTCAATTACTGATATGTTGTTGGTCACTGACAATCTCCTAATAAACAGCCTCTATTTCCACACTGCTCATTAATTATCTCAAATGCAGGAATCCCTGCTCTGAGACAGCACCCGCATTCAGTTTCCACAGATACTTCAGAGACTTGCAAGAAACAGCCACCTCTCTGTTTACAAGCTTTTAAAATGTCGTCGTTTGTTTTGCTGACCAGCTTAGAAATGAAACACAACAGATTTTTCAAGTGTGCACCACTGATTTCTAAATATCCATCTTGGAGTGTTTAATCATCAGAAATGACAGATTCTACTAAGCATGTGTTGACCTTCAGATTTCTTGACAGAAAAAAAAAGCTAATTAAGTCAGCAAACAGCTGGGGAAAGCACTCAACTCCTAAAACTTCAAGCAGCCATACACCAAGGAAGTCTCCATACTTTATTAAGCATGCCAGCTATCCTGCCATTCTTGCACTCCAGTGTGTTAGGAAAACAATCTCACATCTCCTAATTACCATGTCAATGTCTACAAAAACCATAAGCCAAATGTTTAATAGATTCTTGCTCCTTGTCAGAAACAATGTATTTCAGGGATGTCCTCTTGAAGAGCAAATTGCTCCAGTGCTTTAAACTGAGCAAACACAAGGAGGAGAGCATAATATAGACAGCAAACTAGAAATCAGTTTGGGTTTGTTTTAATAGTATATTCAGTTAGAACAATTACCCTTGGTCTACCTGTTCATTGTGGTAGACCTGCTATCTATGTTCTACACATAGACAGGGCTTTTCTTCCCTGTCAACGTAGAAGCACCCTGAAAAAAAAAAATCCCAAAGAAATGACTGGTACAGAAGCTGGACAGACATCGAAAGTAAACAGCTTGAAAAGACATGGCAGTTTTTACTTAAAATACATTTACATAGTATAGTTACAATAAATTTTATAGTATTACTATTAGAAGCAAGCAATACTTCAGATGGCAAACTGGAAAATGCAAAAGCCTAAGTTCAGAAATTACATAATAAATAAAAACTATTACATCTGAGTAATTTTCTGTTGCTAATACAGTAACATTTTCCCAGTGCAGTAATGGCTGCAATGGAGTGGAGTAACAGTGATTTTTCATGGAGTAACATGATTTTTCTCATGATAATTTTAGACCAGAATATTTGATGAAACTGGAGGGGGGGGAAGGTGAAGCCTCCTAACCTTTCTCAAATAGCTGTATCATACACAAATGAAGTTGCAAAATTTAGACATTCTTATTTTACATTCATTTTTAGCTACCTAATCCCATGACATTCTTTACAACTAATCCAAGTCATTGTACTTACTCAACCACCTTTGGACATGATAACTGTCACTTAATCCTGATTTCCTCAAGAAACCAAGCTTAGGTGATCATACTTTCTATTAGGCTGTTCCTCTCCCACATGAACCTCAGGACCCCTGGATCATTTTGGAGCAAACCTGATAGAGATGTGCCATGTCTGAAATGCACATATGTTCCATGAAAGCTGGTATCTGGAAAAAGGTCTAAATCCATATGCTTCTCAGGAAAGGCTGCAGCAGCGGGCTCAGCAGTTAGATTATCTGTCTGTTCTGCCTGCTTTTCTGATCTATCACCATATATGCACCAGCCAACCAGAACCCAGCCAAAAAATATCACATTTTGTTCAGATATAATAAAGGGCTATTTGGAAGGTAGGGACATGACAAATCTGCAGAAATTCCAACAAGCCTTTGAAGACAGAGGGCTCGATCTACAAAGGGCAACGTAGAACATTTGGTGCTTGGCCTCTCAAGTTCAGCATCAGTACTTGCGAAGCAAGGCAAGGACAGATTTCAGAACCCCATGGCACGATACTGAGCCAGCACGTTGAGCTGAACGTTGCCTGCACTAGCTAATTAGAAATCCTGATGACAATGCTTTATCTTAAAGTCTACCTTTATCCAGGCCTTAGAGGCCAACACTAGAAGGAGATGTTGACTTCTCCACCCCAGAAGTTAATGACCTCAGGAGTTCAACTTTACACAAAAACAGAGAAAGGAATATTCTTTAGCAAGGCAACACCAGCACCACTAACATCTTAATTCAGTGACTAGATTTCTCACCTAGACTGAGTGATACAAATTCAATTACTTTAAATACTTTTAACCCATGCTTTTACCTTACAAAGCAGCATCTAAACACACACATATAGAGATGGGGCAATTTCAGTCCCTCTCCTTGAAGCTAATCCTCACACATAAAAGGACTTAATATTCAAAGATGACTGCAGCCTCATCTTCAGCTGTCACAGAATCACAGAATCACTAAGGTTGGAAAGGACCTTCAAGATCATCAAGTCCAACCATTAATCCAGTGACACCGTGTCCCCTAAACCATGTCCTGAAGTGCCACATCCACACTGTCCAAGCAGACAACTTGGATTTTGCTTCATTTTTAAAGATTATTTGTGCATTTTTGCCAATCAGTCATTGGATCAAATTTAGTCATAGTACTTTGAGCAAGGAACAAAACAATTCAGTGCCTCCTCTCCCCAGCTACATGCCCCAGTTCCTAGGCAGCATGGTGAGCATGGGTCTCAGCCTTAGAAAACTTTCTTCTCTTCAAAGTGAAATGGGTTCAACATGAGGTAGAGAGCGTTCCCCTTCAAAGCTGCACATTGCCCAGAGTCAGGGCATTTACGAAAATGCGAGATATGCAAGTTTCATCCCTTTCCAAAG